AAATAAAAAAAATAAAATCTTTTTTAAAAAAACAAAATAAAAATGATCTGATCACATTATACAGAATAAAATGGGGTCCCCTCTGTGTAAAAGGAGTATTTGTGTGTGTGTGTGTGCCTATTATAAAAAACAGGAGACGACGTCATGAATAACTGACAGGGGTTACTACAAGCCCGGGGCTGAGGGGAGGGAGGACCTCAAACTGCTTACACTTTACTTCTGTATGGTCTGTTTTCCGCTGAGCAAGCGTTCTTCACACTGAGGTTAGCAACAGCAGCCGCCATGCTGCAAGGTGAGGCCTGAGGAGGGTCACTGAAATTAGTAATTAGGGAGCCTAGCTACCGCGACCAGGGGGAGGCAGCACCCCACAGTGACCAGCGGTCAGGGAGCAGCTCCGGTTTGCCTGGACGGTTTGCCTGGAACCGTCTGGGCTTTCACACTGACAGTCCAGAGGCTAGGAAACTCCTCAGTTCCCGTGTGAAGGTCAGCTAGAGAAGCTTCACGATGAAGGGAAGTGAAGAGGGAGGGTGCGGAGTTGAGGGGTTTTAGGAGCAAGAACAGTGGAGGACAGGTTTTTATTTTTTCTTTAGGATTTAAATTGACGTTCAGAAAAAGGAAGAAGTATGGTTATTTTTAGGCACTTAGAGTAGTTAACAAAGTGTCACCAAGATGTAATGGGGTTAGACCTGCTTTGATTAAAATAAAAAACAACAGGGACGCCTGGGTGGCTCAGTCAGTTAAGCGTCTGCCTTCGGCTCAGGTCATGATCCCGGGGTCCTGGGATCGAGCCCCACATCAGGTTCCTTGCTCAGCAGGGAGCCTGCTTCTCCCTCTGCCTGCAGCTTCCCCTGCTATGCTTTCTCTCTCTCACTCTCTGACAAATAAATAAATTAAAAAAACAAACAAAAAACAATAAAACCTGGTTACAAAAAAATAAATAAAATAAAAAACAACAAAACTGCTGTAGTTAGGATTTTGTATGTTGAGGACTGTTTTTTCACATTTAAGTCCCTTGAAATTCATGTTCTCTCTTCCTAATAATAAAAAAAAATAGCAACGATTTAATATTATTTGCTAAAAAATGACTCTGTACCAGACATGCATCTCATACACATATTATCTCATTTTCGTGTAATTCTTACAATATCCCTAAGGAGGGGGTATTGTTTTATTCTTCCCATTTTACAAATGAAGAAAATTGAGTCTCTGCCCGAGGTCACACAGCTGGTGAGTGGCATTACCTCAGTCCTGATTTACATTTCTGGAGGACAGAGGGGAGGTGAGAACATTCCTGGCCACACCACGCTCCTGCCTCAGTCTACACTGGGGAGTACCACAACCACTTCCCTTTCCAAACGCTTGCTGAGGATGCCAGTTGAAAGGATGGGAAACTGGCTTATTGTTTTTCCCTATAGGAAGGTGCTTGTCCAAGTTCAGGACAAAAGCTGGTCACCGTCCTCCTCGAGGTGATCCCAGAGAGAGAGAGATAAAGAGAAGGCCTCTCCTCCAGGCTGGGGTTTATCCCTAAACGCAGCGTCTGGGTATCTGTCTCCCCTTAGCTCAGGTGAGCCCAAGGCAGTGACGGGGACTCCTCTGCGTCCTTCTCAGGATCCTGAGTCTTGGAAGGAGGGGCAGCGACGGCCACGGAGGAAAAAGGGAAGGGCATCCCAGGCAGAGGAAGTTGTGTGCAAAGGCCTGGGCTGGGGGGCCGGCAGGGAAGGTTCAGGGGAGATGGGGCAGAGCATGCTAAAGGAGGACCGGGGGAAGGAGTGGGGGCCAGGGGAACTGGAAAGAAGCTGAGATTTCAAAGCCAGCATCTAGCAACAGAACCAGAGGAACCAAGCGGGGGGAGGGTAGGGCAGGGCTGAGGTGAAGCCGAGAGCGCGGGTCCTGCCAAGCAGGATGGGAGGGGTCTCTGCACTGTAAAGGGGCCAGGAGAGGACAGAGAAAGGCAGGAAAGGAACTAACCCCCGGAGTTCCCAATCAGGCCCCACGCATGACGTTTGGGGGCCAACCCCATCTGTCCTCTAAGTGACTGGAGCTAGCTGGCTGATGCTGGCAGGTCCCTGGGGTCACAGATGCCAGGATGCGGCCTTCATCCAGCCTGCCTGTTTACGGACACCACCCCTAGCTGAGGAGTAACGGGGATCGGCAGTGCCCAGGGTGAGATCCAAGAGCTGCGTCACCACTGCCATGGCCCACCCCGCCCAGATTTATAGGATCCAGTCATGGGAAGCGGCCCCTCCCATCTCACCAAGGACCGAACAGGAAGGGACACTTCCTGTCAGCAATGCCCAGGCCCTCCGAGTCCAGGGACCACCCCCTACTGGAGGTGTAGGCAGGCGGTGGGCTCAGAACAGGCCACCATCATCCCTGCTGTCAGTGCGGGGCAGGCCCATCAAACCAAATGAATGAACCTATGAATCCCTGCCCTTTGGGAAGCTGGGGGTTGGAGCTGGGGCTGGCTCCTCCTCCATCCTTCAGTCGCGAATTTATGGATGCTGGGGGGCGGAGCCGGGGCTGGCTCCTCCTCCATCCTTCAGTCACCAGCTTATGCACCTCAGATATCCTGAGGACGCTGAACGGGGCTTGGTCCCTGCGTCCTGGGCCCAGTGGGACCGGGGCAGAGACAAGCACCCTGACAGCCAGGGTATAAACTGAGGGTTGCCCACTCTACCCTCTTCCTAGGGTTCCTTTGAGGAGGACACATCGAGAGGATGTTCTAGAGGGCTTAGAGCTATTGGAGAAAAATCCATCAAGCGGGATTTTCCAGCCTTTCCGAACACATCCCCTCGCACTGTTTAAGTCACAGAGATGCAGCATGGTCTGGTACTGAGGGGTTTGGGCTCGGTAGCCGCCCCTGAGTTCAAATCTTGCTTTTACCTTCTAGTGGTATGGCAGTGTGGCCTTGAGCAAGTGACTTGACGTCTCGCATCTGCTGAGTGCCAGTGTGTAAAATGGGTGGTAAGGGCCTCCTCCCAGGGTTGTGAGATACAAGAGCTGTTGCCGTGGAGCACTCGGCCCCGGGGCCTGGCACAGGAATAATGGTGGCCATTGCTGTTACCACTTCATCCCTTCGCAGGGGGCAACAGGGCTTAAATGAGTGGTGAACCCACACGAATCCTCTTCTGAGACTTTCATGGTATTTCTGAAATCATCTCATCGGCCCAAATCACTGTACCATGCAAGCATCAGAAAGGCAATATGTCTCTTGTGAGAACAGATGGGAACGAAGACCCAGGCTTCCTCTTCCCCTGCCTGCACCCTCACCTTGTCCAGGGGAACCTGGGGGGAGGCCAGGCTCCCAGCGCCAACCACAGCTCAGCCAGCCACCACCCTGGCCCCGGCAGCCCACAGAAGACAAGAGGGTTGGAGCAAGGAAGACCGGGTTTTGGGGGTGGGGAAAGTAAGAAGGCTCTGAACTCCGTGACTCACCGGGGGCTGGGCCGGAAGTGCAGGCGATGTGTCTGGCTGACTGGCAGGGGCAGCAAGTACCAGCTGCCTTTCAAATGGAACACCTCCCTCCCTGTCCTCTAGACAGCAGGATCTGTCCCCACAGGAAGATCTCCCAAAGTTTTTTCGCTCCTCAACCTGGATACCTGATCCCTTGCGGGCTCCCAGCAACCCTCCTTCCAATCTGCCCCTCAGTCCTCTGTCCAGTAACCCCAAGGGTTCCCCACCACCAGCCAGCAAGTGGCTCCCCCATTTTGGCCTCCCAGGCACTTGGCCGGCTTCCCCTTTCACTCGAGCTTCTCCTCCGTCCCACTCAAGAATTCTCCACCCCAGCCCAGCAAGCTTCCACATCATTCCCAGACAGCCTAGCCCACCTTCCGGGTCTCCCTCTCTGCTCCGGTCCCTGCCTCTGCAAAGCCTGGTCCCGCCCAACCTCCCTCCAGAGAGCCCTAGCGACCCTTTGTCCCCCACACACTTTCTCCTGCCGTCAGCACAAGTTTCATTTCTCCAAGGATGTGGCCTACACTTCCACCCTTCCCAAGTACTTGGTTCAGCCTTGAGCACCAACGCGGCAGTTAACAAAGACGTCTTCCAGCCACACTTTGTGGGGCACCCCATGGAGGTGGAGAAGAGATGGATGCTGCCATCACACACAAACAAGGCGCTGCCAACCTGCTGCCTCCCCGCCCCCAAGGGGCGCCGTGGTGCCTCCTACTCTCATCCCACGGGGCTCCGCGGCTGGTGGTCAGAGAGCCACCTGCAGACACCCCAGGCCCCAGGGTAAGTTCTGCCCCAGCAGCGCTGGCCTGCCAAGCCCAACCCATCTCCCACAAGCGTTTCCCGGACTGTTAAGATCCAGTAAACTGTTCCCGGGGACTACCAAATTCATCAGGTACAGGGGCATCGAGGAAGGAATTCGGCCTCGAGGAGGAGCATTCAGGGCAGAGGGGACAATGATGTGCAGGGACTGCACAGGCAGCAACTTCTCACTCCTGTTACTCAGCAGCTGCTGTGGGGAGCCATCCTCCCACCGCCGCACCCCTAGCCTTCCTCCCTGCCCATACGTAAGCTTCTGATGGGGGTGATCAAAGCAATACCACTGCGAAGGGGCCCCCTCTGAGGCTGTGGGGGCTACAAGTCCTGAGACGCAGCCCGAGGGGGAAGCCAGGAGAGGGGGGAATCAGAAGGCAGAGGGGGCACTCCAGGCGTCCTCCCGGATGGGGCCCCTCACCACGCATTTCCAGCTCCCTCTGTCGAAAGCTCCATGGGGGAAAGGGCCGAGTCAGCACTCTAGCCACGACTCTCCCAGGGCCTGGCCCGGCTTTAAAATGTGCTCTGGGGCTCTTGGAATGGCCATCCTCCTCCAGCCCTCCCGCCCTGCCTGTCTGCTGAGTTCCTTCACAGAGGAGAAGACACAGGAGGAGGGCTGGGAGGCAGGGGGACAGCCGGTGTGCCTTGACCTGCGGAGGGCAGGGCGATGCTGCCTGGTTTGCGTCTCACATTCAACTCCAGATGGGTCTGGAGTTCAGCGGGGGAGAGCGCCTACTTGATGTGAATATGGGTCCCTCCAGACCCCACCACTCCCATCCGCACAATCGGGCAAATACGTGTCTTGGTCCTCTACGTCACGCCGGGCGGGCCAAGTGAGTGAGCATCGGCCATGGCTAGAGAGCCCGGACCCTCAAGGGGGCTGTTCGGGTTTTGCTCAAAACTGCAAACACTGCACTGACTGTCCCCTTTCACTCACCCCCGTCCCCAAATTAAACATCCAGCGAGACAAAGCTGGGCCCAGCGCTGGGGCTGTAATAACTACACTCCCTGGCGGTTCCAG